ATGTCAGTGATCACGACCCTTTTGGAGATGAAGTACTATATTGCATAAAGTAGAAGATTATTCTATTTGGCATGATTATTTGTTTAAGGGTGATTGATTATGTGTACAAAATTCCTCACTTTGAATGCAACATACTAATGAGATACACATGGGAGGTTTGACCGCACATGTTGGAGAGAGAAAACCCGAATACAGTTACAATCTAGGTTTATTGGCCTCGACTACACCAAGATGTCACCCAATTCCCGAAGAGATGTACAATATGTTCAATTTACAAACTACTCCAAAAAAAAATGACTATATATGCCATATCTACCGGGCCATCCCTGATCCAATTTTAGATGATTTAAATTTAAACTTTATACTAGGTTTGTCGAAAATAAAAAAAAGGATATTTGCTTCTACAGTGATTATTGTTGAACATTTTTCCAAGATATCTCTTCATAGCTTGTAAGAAAACATTGGATGCCCATCTCACAGCTCATCTATTATTCCAAGTAATAGTTAGACTTCATGGTCTACCATGTAGTCTCACAACAAACTGTGATCTAAAGTTTATTACTTACTTTGAAGGAAGCGACGGTGGCTCTTACAAATAATATTGTGAATGAGTTCAACATATCATCGACAATTAGACGAATAAATTGAGGTAGTCAATCACACATTTGACAACATGCTTTGTTGTTTAATGCAAAAGCACTCGAAGCATTGAGATGAAGTTCTGGATCAAGTTAAGTTTGCTTATAACTCCATGCCTAATCAGCCTATGACAAATCTTTTTTTAACATCGTCCATACCAAAACACCCAACCACACCATTGATATTGCGGTGATTTAAAAGAAACAAGTAAAGAGGCCATGACAATGGTCAAAGATGCAAATAACATGTTATAAAAATTTCATGCTAAATTAATAAATTCTGAACCACCTATAAACAATAGGATAATTTACATAGGGACCGAAATATATTTGATCAAAAAAACCTAGCCATGATAAGGCTTCGCAAGAAACACTTTCGATCAGATTCTTACTTCAACTTAAGCCTAAGCAAGTTTGTCATTTTCAATGGTTAAATGTATGAATGATAATATTTATATTATCGATCTTCTATCAACAACCCTATCTACCTTCAATTTTTTTGATATATATGATTATCATGCCCCCGATGACACTCCCTCATAACTCATTTCACTTAAGATGAGTTGTTTTGAAGCAGGGGAGTTCTAACGTGTCATCTATTCTACCATGCAAACTAGTATATACTTATATAATGATTTATCGTGTTCTATTACCTTAAAATTTGTTATTTTTATTATTTTCGTATTAATGATATACCAGTTGTATTTTTTGATAGGCAATAGATAGTAATGTTTTAATATAGAAAATACAAAAATCTAAAAATAAGAGTAAACAAAGCTTTTTGACCTCTGGATAGTAATATTGCAATTTTGCTTTTTAGTGTTTATTAATTACTTCTTTTAACTCATACTAAATAGTTATTTTTTATTTTTCTCTATTAGTTCTATTAGTATATTGATTTTTTTTTAATTTGTTCAGCAAAAAATATACCTATGTGGCATCTCATTTATGAACATGATGGGTCTATAATATTTGAGTAGTATGTTAAATCAAGATCATCATAATATAATTTCAACCTAGTCCACTAAATACTAATTAGCATCTATACAATTTAGAAATATTATATAAATTGCTAAATATTACCCACAACTACTCATATTTCTCCATTATTTACCGCTAATATTCTCTCTTTGATTTAATAATTTCATTATTGTCCATATTTGTCATCAATATTGATGTTTTTTCTCTTTTTTTTTTATGTGCTTCTTCTATCGATATTATTCTCTTTGATTGTTATATGATGCAATTTTGATTTCCCTTTAAAATATTTTATGTTGATGTGTAGTCTTCCCATTACTGCTATAAGCATCGTCGCTAACTCTTACATGATGTTATCACAGATAATTCATTGTCTTTATGATTTCATATTTTCATGTTGTCTTTCTCGTTATTATTGGTGTCTTTTTCGGTAAGTTACTATCCGACAACTCATATTATATTATTCATATACCCAAATTTTAGGTCTAACACATGATCATCTTATTGTGGGGGTAATTGCTTTCTACTTTTGTTTGATTTTTAATGAAATTCTATAATTTGAATAATGGAAAAATTTTAACCGCTAAAATTAATTGAAATTATTAATTTAAATTGATTTTTTTATTGAGCGTGTCGTTTCTTCTTTTGGATCATTTATATGCTATCAACGTAAATGTTGGGTCGTTTAAAATTCAGGGAATAGTAAGTATCAAAATATAATTGTAACTTTCCTCTCCTTGCATATGATTGTTATATATAAGTGCTTTGAGTGTTTCACAGGTGTGGATAACTCCTTATAGAGAGAGACTCCTACCAATATGATGTATGATTATTCTCTTGTGGGGTAATTTATACTTTTATTCTTGTTTTTTAAAATTAATTATTCATTAATTTTGTGTGGCGATTAAAATAATTTTAAGTCGTACATAATGTGTTTAGTTTTTGAAATATGAACTTAATTAGTTGTTGAAGTTTATTATTTATCATTGTTTTTTTATGTAATTCTATACTTTAGTCAATTTTTAAATTATCTATTGGAGTGAACAACGCTTATTTATTATCTTTAAATTAAAGTAATAAATTCATCTTTTGAAGTACAAACTTGATTAGTTGCTAAAGCATATTTTATTCACCATTCTTTCATGAAGAATTTTAGATTTTATGTAATTGTTAAATTATCTCTTGGACTAACCAAATCATGTTATTTGTCTTCAAATAAAAAGCAAAAAAAACTGTTAAAATAATAATTTAGTAACCTGCAATTTATAATTTTTGGACTTTTTATAATGTAAGCGATTCTAGCTTTTGTATTAATATTCTTAAAATCATAATCTTCCAACATCAAAAAATATCAAAAATAAAAACCTAAAATCATTCCAAATCCATTATAAAAACTTTTTTGTAAACTTTCATCATAATATTAAAAGGTAGTCAATCAATTTATGAAAACATATTGCATTTCAAATATTACATCCACCGCCTCCAAAGCGAAAACTAAAACTCCTTTAAGGTATATTTTATGAGGCCAGGAGAATTGATATGAACAAAAAAAAAAGTCACATAAAGTGTACAGTTTGTATCCAACATGCTTAATCTTTTTTTATTCATTAATTGCTTAATATGGCTTTAAACAAAATGGCCTCTAAAAAATGAAATAAAACATTTTATGAAGGTTGTGTGTTTTTAAGTGTTTTAGAATCATTTATCAAATGTACCATATATCCTATAACCAGGAGCTAATTTTTCCGTATTAAAATTGAATCCAATTCCTAAGAGTGGCCAGCCCTAGCCTACTCTCTAACCCTCACCAATCATGTTATTTGTTTTCAAATAAAAAGCAAAAAATTTATGTTAAAAGATAAATTTAGTAACCTGCAACTTATAATTTTTTAAATTTTTATATTCCAAGTGATCCAAGATTTGTAATAAAATTCTTAAAATCATAATCTTCCTACATCAAAGAATATTAAAAAAAAAAAGCCTAAAATCATTCCAAATCCATTATAAAATCTTTTTTGTAAACTTGTATCATAGTATTAAAAGGCAGTCAATAAATTTATGAAACATATTGCAGTTCCTATATTACATTCACCACCTCCAAAGCCAAAACAAAAACTATTTTTGAGGCCAGGAAAATAGATATGAACAAAAAAAAATGTCAAATAACGTGTACGGTTTGTATCTAGCATGCTTACTCTTTTTTTATGCATTAGTTGTTTGATGTGGCTTTAAACAAAATGGCCTCTGAAAAATGAAACAAAACTTTTTTTATAAAGGCTAAGTGTTTGTTTTTAAGTGTTTTAGGACCATTTATCAAATGTACCAAATATCTAATAACCAGGAGCTAATTTCTACGTATTCAAATTGAATTCAATTCCTATGAGTGGCTAGCCCTAGCCACCTCTCTAATCCTCGCTTTCGTGTGATGGGAAATCCTTGTAGTCGGCCAAATAAAAGCATGTCGTTCACTAGAATTGCGGATTTAATGCCTACTATTTTGTTCAATATCAAATGATAAAGAAATAAAGGGAAACATCACATACTGAAGAGCTTGATATAATGAAAGATAACAAAGAAATAACAAGAAAAAACAAAACATCATGATTTGCTAGATAAGGAAGAATCTCGCAAGGATGAAAAAGAGAGAGTAAGAATATATTAAAGTTCAACCACTCTAAGCATAAATAATTTCAAGACACATTAACTTCAAGATGGAGAAATTAGCTCATATTTACAAAATATGCTCATCTGGATTTGAAAAATAATACCTTAAATAAAAGACATACCCGACTACACATTCAAAAACACACAAAGGGAAACAATATAAAAACAATAGATAAAGTTGATATTTTTTTTGAAAAGTAAATAAATTAGCGAGAAAAGGATTAAAAAAGAACAAAAATAAATGAAAAGTAACATGAATAGAATAAAATATAAAATAATTTATGCCAAAACGATTTAACACCTCAAGCAACACTCAATTGTCAAAAGTGATGAATGAAGATTCATAAAGCTAACTTCAGATTATCAAGGCAAAGAAAATGATTAACAAAGCAATTCCCTATCAACATTAAAATGTAAGATTAAGCTTTTCTTCATTAGTTTCCTTCTTGGAAGGGAAGTAAGTGTAAATAAAAACAAACCGAAGAACAGTGCTATTTAAATTAAAAAAAAAATATGATTTGCAACAACAATTATAAAATCATAAAGACAGCACAAAAGCAGACCATATAAAGACCTTAGCTTAAAGAATGATGTTAATGACATTTATTATTTCAATGATAAGTGAATATGAAACTAATATCAGTACCGAGCATTCAAAAATAAAATTTTAGTACTACAAAAGACAGCAAGAAATACAATAAAATTAGTGTCACATCTTACCAATACGACCAATTTTCATTCCTGATCGTGCCAAGGCCCGAAGGGCAGATTGGGCACCAGGACCAGGAGTCTTTGTCTTGTTCCCACCTGTGGCCCTGAGCTTAATATGTAGCGCAGAAATGCCAAGCTCCTGCAAAGATGATGGAACAACAAAAATCAACATTAATACTACCACCAAAGGTACCACAAAACTCAGACAAAGATAAGAAAAGTAAGATGCTAGCAGACCTTGCAACGCAGTGCAACATCTTGTGCAGCAAGCATAGCAGCATAGGGAGAAGATTCATCCCTATCAGCTTTGACTTTCATTCCACCTGCAGAAGTTTTCAAAAGCTGCATAATCCCGCTAGCTCCTTCATGAGTCATGATAAGAAGCAATAGATTGTAATGACTCGTGGTAAAACAAGATGGAATGAAAACAAAAGTAAAAAATCATTGTTCTTCGCATGTCTTCTTGATACCGTTCTAGGGTGCATGGAAGGTGTTTAAGGATGGGATTGAGTGGGGAGGTGGTTATAGAATAACATGGGAAAGATATTATGGTCAGTCAAGAAGTTTGGGATGGGTTATGATATGCTCAACGACGGAAACTGGCTAATGGACAGCAGATAGCAGCAATTTTGATGGTTGTTCGGACTGAGAACGGCTATCGAAAAATGAAATGGTGAGAGGGGATCCACTACATGTTCCTGAGCAAGATATAGACACACCACTTGCTCTTTGAATTCCCCATCACTAATCGGATTATGCGGGATTATGTGGAATCTACAGCTCCCATATCATTCTCCCCGGCTAGGAGAGGCTTCTTCCACTTCTTTGGAAGGACATGGATCTCCTACTGTCAGATGTCCTTCCCCACAAAACACTTAAGGAGACTTTCAATGATGTGCTTCATCATCCTTATCTTGCCACCTATTTGAGAATTCACTATTTAACTGAATTGGAATTTAGTACCCAGCTTACTCCATAAACATTTCAGAAATAATTTAAAAATTTTCGTCCTATATGAAGTAATGACATTGGACCTCACTCCATAGTGACAATCTAGAGGGTAAATTTTACATCTGAAAAATCTTGAAATCCTCTTAGTTGGGGCTACCTAGTGTTTGGTATCAAATCATCAAATTCATTGCTCCTACGTAACCAATGTTAGTTATGTTAAAATCTCTCATAGGCTCAGCTTAAATCACTAGCATCTCTCTGTTGTCGGCTTCAAGATGATGCTACTTTTAAAAGTATTTATTCTCTGCAGTTGTTTATTTCTTCAACTACTCATTGCTTAGTAAAAGATATCACCCTCACGTTTGGGCAATAAAACGTAATGTGCCCAAAACTATGGCACTAGAAGCACTTTTTATCTGGGGTGAATTTGGGTGTGCTAGTGAGCTCCATATTTTCTCCACTCTAGATTTATTTTTCCTTTCGTGAGACTAGCTTAGGTGCTCTAGTTGGAGCACTCTTACTGTCCGATTTGATGACAACCCTATTTGAAATGTGGTATAAACGTGATACTGTTGTGTTGTCTCTTCACCTTATTATGTCCAATAGAGTTGCAACCATACCATGCTACCAATGGAAGGTTTCAATCCACCAATATATCGAACTATGGAATTCCCTTCGGGCTCCACTAGCTAGCACTTTAACATAAGCTGATCAAACTCAGATGTGTACTCTTCTACTGAGAGATCATTCTACTAAAAGCAATCAAATCTCAAGAATATGTCCCATTTGTAATGTGTTGGTACATATTGCATTTCCCTTTTCATCTTGGACTGATAAGTGATTTTGTTTTCTTTCTCACGCTAGTGTAAGTGCTTCAAATTTTCTCACCGTAGATATGCACTCTACTTTAACTGAATGGCAGCTAACTTTACCATTTTATCTGGTGGGACGTCATTGCACTCAAAGACATGGTCCACTGTCTTGAGTCGCTCGATGAATTCGTTTGAATCCATGTAATTGTCGAAATCTGATAAGTTGAACTTCGCTCCAAAACCATAACTTCAATAACATTTCATGTTAAATCATCGCGACATTGGTTCATCATTAAAAACTTCCTAATTAAAAGAGTTCACTTTCTCCTCTCGATTTGGCAAATCATTAGTTTCTATGAAGGATTTCTCTTTGTATGTCTTCCATAGTAAGCTTCTTAACAGCCCATTGAGAGTGTCTCCTTGTTAGCATGACAACTTTTTGTTCCCATGAAACTTTTGATGGAAAACAAAAATATGGTTTAGGGTCAGGACTAAGGCAATGTGGATGGTGGGTTTTTTTTTTTTGTTGTTGTTGTGGGGGGGGGGGGGTATGGGTGTTGTGTTGCGGGTTTT